TGAACTAAAATGCCAATGATATCAGGGGTTATGCGAGTGAGAAATGAGTGAAAATGAAGCAAACAACACAGTAAAACATTTAAATGAAATGTGGGAATTTATTTTGAAACCAATCTAACTTCCATTTAGTGTAATTTAAGTGAATATAAATGCCGATGATTAAGGTGAGTTTTAACAGATGTTAAATTCACAGATTCACGACCATTAAGACAAAAATATGCAACAATTAAGTATGATTAAGTAAATTAGTCTTGGAAAACAGAGCTAGGAATGAAAATGAGCTTAATGTTACCCAGTGGTTTTAAGAGATTACACACATCCAACGTCATAAAACATGAAAACTAGAGGAAAGTCTCGAGAGTGGAAAGATTTTTAAACAATGTTTAAAACAAAGTTAAGAAGCATCCTCCTCAGTTTCTTTATCAGCTGTCTTAAAACTAAACCTGTCGGATGAACTCACGTCAGAGCCGACACACTAGTGACTTCATTTAGTCAATTCCACAACTGGGGGATGAACTGATTTGGGGCAGAAATGTACTTGAAATGTCAAAGATATAGATAATTTACTTTTTGTCCTTTTCGCCTGATGCAGAGCGACTTGAATTTATTTCTTCCTTCTAGTAACTGTAACAGTCCTTTGTGTTAAATCAAGTCACTAACTACTTTTTTTTTTTTTTTCCTAAATACAGTTGAATAGTTTCTCAATCAGTTTTCCTCCATCGACCTCAGTGAAACTCTGGCTTCTTGACTTTCCCAGTTGTGAATAAAAGGTGTCACTGCAGCAGATTTATGACCCCAGTGCTGGTAGCAGGTATCTGGGTGTGGCTGTTTACCTTCCATCCTCCACTATAGCAACATGGTGCCTTCAGGCTGCTGCAGCTCGCAACAGGTCTGCTGAGTCATCACAGTGACATCAGCTCTAACTCTGAAATCAAACTTTTCAGTACAAAACATCGCTGCACCAGTTGAACACAAACTTTTTGATCATGCTGCAACAGGGATGTTCTTATTTACGATTAATGAACAAAAGGATGAAGCCGTCTCCCGATCTAAAAATCTGTAACTTTCCTGCGACTGCACATAAACGTTTTAAAGTTTGTTTTGTCTCAGAGTAAGTGCTCGCTGTGGGGACGGCTGGGTTTTCGTCTCACTATGTGAAGTGCCTTGAGATGATGGATGTTGTGAAGCACCTAAATAAAAGAGTTCATGTATATTGAACAGCTTTTGGACTCTGAACCTCTCTGGTTTTATAACACAGAGACTGTTATTGTCAACTCCTGGAGCTCGTTGTTGGCATCACGTTAAATTCCTGAACAGCTCGCAGACTAAACAAATCCGAGGCCCACTGGCAGATTCTCATGAGACTTATTTACACTGTGGGTGAAACTGTAAACGCCTAAAAACAACAACAACAAAGTAAAGACAGCTGATAAAGTCGGTAACATCACAGTTACAACAAAGCAAATAAATCTCAAACTGTGATAAAAACAAACAAAATGAAAGCTGGTGACCAGGTTACAGAGCCAGGAAGAAAGATTAGTGCATCTCTCAACTGAAGAATAAAAACCTTTTCACTCCCTCGGTTTTTTTTAGGCTTCGTTTTAAACATTTTTTTGGGGCAATTTAGTCACGAGTAGACTTGCAGGAAATAAAATGATGAATCAGACAATTGTACATGAGGACAGAACAGTAGCTCGGGGGTCAACGGTCACTGCGACTCTGACCAAAGCATCCTAAACAAATGTATGACGTCACATCACACACTTTCAACTAAAAAGGTTTTCATTGAACAGGACGAAAAATTACTCAACACCGTTAGGGCGACAGCAGAGCTCCACTCATCTGAACCCCTCACGTTCCCTTCACACAACATCTGGGCTCAATTATTTCTTGTAAATCAAAACTAGACGTTGAGATGTTACAACATAAGAGAGTAAAATGATTCTATTATTATAATATTATTATAAGAATCAAAGTATAAGATTCAGTTCAGACTCAGAGGTTTTCGCCAATAATCTAAATTATTAGTGTCTCTCATATGGTTTTTGTTGACTTGTCAGTGGTTGATATGATTCCTCACTGGTTTGTAGTTTGAATCACAAAGGTTCAGTTGAGTGAAGTTCTATTGTGGCTCAACATAGAAAAATAAATAAAGTGATGTAAAAAAACAAAAGGCAAAGGGAGTAACAGTGCATGGTGAGTGGTTACAGAACAGAAAAGACAGAATCGTCTATGTGGGGATTAAATCATTATGAGTGAAGTACACACACATTCAACAAACAGATTTACTTGTAATAAAAATGTTTGGATTAGTGAGGGTCAAACTTATTACAGAGCACACACAGGTTAGAAAAGTTAAAATGAGGAAAAATACCAGAATCATTCGATCATTTTGTGTCACACGTTTTCAGTCAACTCACTTTTGGCACATTTTGAATAAATCACCTTTTTTCATCATTGAACATTTTATGGTGTTTTTTTCCACCAGAACACATTTCACGTTCTATTTAGTTGATTTTAAAAATCAACATATGATCTTCCAGAGTGAACTAAGAGCTGAACCTCTGCTCAGTGTATGTAGTGATGATGATCAGAGGCTTCTTAGTTTTGCTGCTCACATCAGTAAACTTTGACTTCACCGTCTTCACACTTTCATTTAAAACAGTCGGCTCGGATTGAACAAAGACTTTGGTGCTTTCGGTTTTAACTAAAGGTTCTGATTTGACAATTTGGGTCATTTCTGCCTTAACCAGATCCCCAGATTTGGGCAGGATAATACTTCCTGTTGTGACGGGATGCTGTGATTGGCGGCTTACCCTGAAGGGGCTGTTGGGGACGCTGACTCCTCCCCAGGCGACGGCCACGGTGTGTTTGAGAGGGGAGGTGGGCGTGTAGGAGCAGGAGTACAGCCCGTCGCCTTTACTCCTCACCTTCACCTCCACGGGAAGTCCGTCTGCATCCTGACAGACGGGCACAGGAGGTTGAATTCAATCAAACATTTTTAATCATCATCTCATTTGATTCATACTTTTCAACATTCACTGATCAGGTGCAAGGATTTGCTGCTTGTCTCAGTTTACGACCACATAGTGCCAGGAACTATGGAACGAGAACACTTAAACTACTGTGAGTCTCAACAACAGACTCATACATTTTGCAGAAACACGAATATAAAAAGCAGAAGGTTTCCTAATGTCGGGAACCAGGAAGTACCCTTGCATTTCAAAAAAGCTATCAGAGAACATGACACAAGTGTGTGTCTCTGTGTCTGTATTGATTGAGCATGGATGAATTTCTTGGTCTTACCTGACCCGTGATCTTCAGCGGTCCTTTCCCAGCATCCTTGGCATTGACGGTGAACTCAGCCGGCTGGTTGACCAGGCAGCCGCTCTTTTCAAGCCCCGGCCCAAATGCCTGGACCTACAGTCATGAAGCAAGATGTAAGCACTTCTTGAATTTTACGTTGAAACAAATAGTTCCTCAGTTCGGAGGGTGAGTCTCTGACCTTGTCTGGGTCACTGGTGTTGTTGTCAGGGACGATGTACGCCATGAAGGGGCTGTGCTCGATGTCTTCCTCGTCACATGTCACGTGGACGGCGTATTCGCCGGGTTCTGTCGGCCAGTAACTCACATCACATGACCCATCGTTCTGGTCCTCACACTCAATTTTAGCCTGTGACGGTCCCTCGATGGCAAAACCTGAACAAACAGCGGGCTGCGTTAGAAGGGATGTGGAGCAGCGTGGTCTCACCAGCGGAGGAAAAAGGATTGTTTCTCACCCAGCACTCCGACATCAGTGCCGATGGACTCCACTACAAAGGTAGCGGTTTTACCCACAATGCCTCCCTCCAGGCCGGGACCCCAGGCCCTGATCTGCTGAGGCCCCGCCTCCTTACCCACAGACACGTCGAACGGACTGAAAACAAGAATGAGAGAGAAGAACCGTCAGAGTGAGTAAAATCATACAACCCCATGTCAGTGTGTGTGTGTGTGTGTACTGGGCTCAGAGTGAAACAAGCTTCACTGTCTGTTGTGATGTATAGTTTTCAATATCACACGTGTTTGAGCGTCTATCTTCGTGTCATAAAGAATTCCCCACCCTCTTTACAAACCTCAGCCCTCAACAGACCGAAGCCAAACTTAAATCTACTTTTAACCTGAAACTCAAACTGCTCTTTGTGATATATCACATATATATAATATGTGTTACTCTTTTCTTTTCACTTGGAAATCACTTTGAGCTTATGCTTGAAAAGTGTAGAATCAATTATTGTTATTATATAATGGTCATTATAATGTAAACGCAGATTAATCTAGTATGTTTAGTTATTGAGGAGAAACTTTTTCGGAATCAGTCGTCACTTCTTCTTTCTCACACTTTGTGAGAATTACCTTCATCTGACGAGCGAAACAGTCGATACTGGAAAACGTGTTGGTGCCTGCACATACCTCTGGTCTGGATTATGGCCGAACCACAAACAAGCACGACTGACTTTGTGAGTCAGGTATTTGCCTCCTGCAGATATTTCCTTAATGTGTACGACTTTGTAGATCTACTCTTTAAATGTAAAAAAAAAAAAAAAACCCTCCAGGAAAGAACGTGTCTCCCTGCACGGTTTTTAATGTCTGCACAACAAAACACACAACCTCCTCTTCAGAGAAGTGAC